CAGTCTGGACTGAGAGCCAGTCAGAAAGAAAGACACAAAACCAGGATCTTAGCTCTTACATCAAACTGGATCCCCAGGTAATTCACAGTGATCTCAATGCCTCGTGTGACAGGGTCAGTCTTCCCAACTCGGTCAAACACGATATTGATGGTCGCCTGCAGAGACAGACCCTTCCGCTGTAATCACTGACTCACAAGTGACCAGTTAATCACCACAACAGAGGCTACAGGTGATGCCCTTAAAGTGCAGCTGTTCTTAATCTGCACCACACGCGACCCCGACTTGGGTCGTCACACACAGGCGGAGGGCAGAATCTACCGGTTCCCTGTGCAGCGCCGGGGCGGGGCTGTTCGGCGTGTTCTGGCCCTGGCCGGGAAGCAGTGAAGGTGACAGGCTCAGAGTAAGAAAGGGGCGGCAGCCCGTGACCTGGGCTGCCCCGGCTTTGCGAGTAGTCGTCTGGGTCACGAGGCGCGCGCTGCTGCGGGAGTGGAGCGGATCCACGGGCGCCCCCCGCTTCGCCCGGCCTGGCCGGTCCCCCCGTCCCGCTGGGCCCTGTCACCGGCGGCCAAGAGCCCAGGGCAAACAGGTGCGCGAGACGGCCGGGGACGGCCACACAGGATGAGCGCCGGCACAGCCCGGGCTGACCCAGGACGCAGGTTTGGGAATTGGGAGGAAGGCCCTGTTCCCGGGGACCCGGGCCACTGCGAAGGACAGGTGGTGTCTGTGGGGACAGAAGGGAGCACGGCGGGAAGGAGCATGTCTCTTGGCGCCTTCCCACTTGCAACGAGTTCCATGCCATACCACGCCCTTTCCCCCTCGCTGCCACTACTGGGGAAACCCGCTAAACTCTGACCGTTAAAATTAATATACGTACCATGAAAATTTTCCAAACGCAGTAAATCGAGAAAAAGTAACCCAGGAAATTAAAATACTTCCCCTTGAAAGTTTTGGAGTATTCTATTCTCTCCTGAGGGAAAACAAACACAAAGCTTGTCAGTCTCAGCAAGGGTCAACACAGCCAACGGGATATTTGTCTTTGCGAAACACTGTTCCGCCGGTTAAAAAGAAAACAAACCGCCACACCGCAGCTGGTGGTAACGACACGGGCCAGTGGCGCCGGGCGACGTCACTGCGGGCTCGCCGGAAGCCGCGCCCGCCCCACACCTGGCTGCGTGATCTACCTTAACCTCCCTGACAACCCGAGGTGCGATGCTCTATTGTCTCCCTTCAGTCTCCCGCGCCACCGGCGTGGCTCCCAGGTGCGGGGGCCTCAGGTTTGCACAGCCTGTTGCAGAGAGGGGCTGTACTGCAAAGCCACTTCCTGGACGTGGGTCTCTTCGTGTCTCGGCTTGAGGACGGGGCTAGACCACGGCAGGGCCCACCCTGCTCTCACTGTTAACCGCAGTGATGTGCAGCAAGCAGAGGTGCTGCCGTCCGAAAGCCCGCCCTTCCGCTCAGCCCTCGGGTGCTGAGCCACGCTGCACCCCGCAAGCCCTCGCCCTCGCCCTCCGCCTGTCATCGCCCGTGTGAAAGCCACACGTCAGCTTCCTGGTGCTGTACCTTGGTAGCGTGTAGGTCAACTGTTTCCAGAAAAAGCTGCCTGCTTAGTTCTTCCAAAGCATCCACTTCCTGTTGAATAAGAGTAAGATCTGGCACAAAATGGACATCAAGGTTTAAATCACATAGAAATTTCAAGCAGCAGCAGTGATAAGCGGCGGCTTTTGGTCCCCCGGCGGAGCCCACAGCTGCCTCATGCACGCTGCAGCTCCTTTCCACAGCCGGCAGTTCCGGCCCACGCGCCTCGCCCAGCCTCGGCCGCCAAGAGCGCCCCCACGCCTGCCTCTCACTTTCTCACCAGCTCAGGTGGTTTTGCTCATTAAGGTTTAAACATCTAGTTAGACTGCCAATAGAATCATTGAAATCTGCAGATGGTAACACAGAAAATTACCTACAACACACCATAGATTTCTTCTGTTTCTGGAACACAACGCGGAGAGGGAACTAACCTTGACCTAGTTCCGACACAGCTGAGATTTACAGCCATTATTTGTTCTCTACAGACATCATCTCTCGTTAGTCTTCAAATAACCCCCGAGAAAGGTGCTTTATTATCCATTTTGCAGATGAGGAAAGCGAAGCTCGGCGCGTGAAAGAACTTCTCCACAGCACACGGCGCACAGCCGTGGCGCTCACCCGGGCCTGCCCCCCGCTCCGCTCCGCTCCTTCCCCGACTCGGTCTTGTTAGCCTCTCGCGTGGGGCTCGGAGAGGTGCAGTAATCCCGACACCTGCCGACTTCACCTGACCAGGTGTCACACACTGGCCAGGTGTCAAAAGCTTTCGCTTTTGTGGATTTCTAAGTACCAAAGCTAGTAGAGTTCCTTCAGAAAGTGCTGACTTTAAGCCGAGTCCCCACTCCTGATTTTTCTCAAGTCAGCAGCGAGTGCCCTTTAGCGCCTTCCTCGCAGCGGCTGCTGCTGGCAAGACCCAGGCCTGCGCAGTGGGGTTCAGTTAATTAGACCCCCCCACACACCCGACAGCGGATGTCGTCACGGGGGCTGCCTTTGCTCACCGTTTTATCCCTCAGCATGGTCTGGGAACAGGCAATGCTGCTTGAGGAAACGAATCTAACTCAACACCTGCCCCCCCTTCCTTTGCCCAGGTGAACACCTGCCCCCCTTCCTTTGCCCAGGTGAACACCTGCCCCCCTTCCTTTGCCCAGTCCTTATCTGCAGCTGACACCAGAAGGCGCGGCCATGGCAGAGCAAGGACAGATGACATTCTTTTCACCTAAGTGAAACAAAAGGGAGCTTGAACCCCTGTGGGGGAGGAACAGGAGCTGCCCCCTGGCCCCAGGGTTGTGCCTTCATAGCCTGGGAGCCACACGGAGGCCTGGCAATCAATGCTGGACAGCTGGGCCAAAGCCTGGCCTCCTTGACTCTTTCAACCAAGATGATTCAAAATTTTAAGATGCACAGCTACTTGAATTTGTTCAGAAACGCTGACTTCTTTTGAAATGGGCTCTGATTTTACACAAACCATCCATTTTAAGAAGCCATTATGTTCTGAGCTATTTCGGGGTTGGGGAAGGTAACAGTGTAGTGGGAAGAACTAAGGAGACCACAGTTCTGGTCCCTTTTTTGTCACAACTACTTTGTGATGTAACCTCTCTGCATCTATTTTCTTATCTGCAAAATGCAAAGATTGATTAAGACCCTTTCAGCTCAAAGACTTCATCTGCTGTGTCAGAAAGAGGCTGTCCACACTGAATCACCTCAGCCTGGCTCTGGCCAGCCAGACTCTGGCGTGATCAGGCACCTCGGCAGAGACCATCAGCACACTTCTCTCTACCTGGCCCGGAGTCGCCATACAGGGCAAGCAGAGGCGTGAAGGATACTTTCACTCCCTGGCGCCGAGGCGGCGACACTCCTAATCATTCCCCAGAATCCGGACGGTTTGCTGTGCACCTCCCCCTTCTGGAACATTGTTCTCCGCGTCATCGCCATCCTGAAATGGAAGAAAACGTAAAATCTCAGCAAGGAAGCGTGGACGCTCCTGGTCCGGTCTCCTAGCTGCTTTTCCATGTGCTGAGCTGTTCAGGGAACGACGCACATTTCAACGCTCCACTCCCCGGCTACTCACAACGGGGGGGACACGAGCCGCCCCAGAGGCCATGCGGCCTAGGCCAAAGGGCACAGGCTCTGGAGGACGCAACACAGCTGGGGGTCGGCCCTGCTACTTCCAGCTCTCATTTCCTCACCTCTGAGTGGTTGTGGAGATTGAGGAAACGACAGGCCTGACCGTCAGCTACACGCTGCTCTACATCTATTAGTTCATGATATTAGCTAGCACCCGAAAGGCCCAGGAACTCAATAAACGTCCTCGCCCTGCTTCTTTTCCAAAAGCGACAAAAACAAAAACCAAAAACCGAAAAACAAAAACCCTGCAGAATCACACGAAGCTGGCCGTGTCTACAACAGCCTCCTCCCTGCAGCCCCATGCGACTGCCCCGCAGACCCGCCCTCCCCGTCTCCCACCCCTTCCACGTAAATCTGAGAGTAATTTTGCATGCGTTTGCCATAAGTGTGCTGGGATTCAGAAATGAATTACACCACGTGGAGGAAATTCACATCTTGGCGAGGTCCTGTCTTGCACCCTGTGAACACGCCGTCTCTGCACTTAGATCTCCCTTGGGTTTCACAGCCTTTGGCCATGTTGGCACGTCAGTGCTGGGCACGTCTGCCAGACTTACAGCGAAGTGTCCTTCTGGGAGAGACGCTTGCTGCTCTTACAACTCTGTCTTGTAGAAGCTTCATTACATGAACCTGAGTGTAGTTTTGCATTTCTCTTCCTTGGGATTCCCAAAGCTGCTTCTACCTGTAAATTAGTGTTTCCTGCAAAAATTGAGAGCGTCAGTCCATTATTTCTTCGATACATCTGTGCCCCTTTCTTCCAGAACTACAAGTACGTTACTGTTTAATGCTGTCTCCTCCTGAATTTTTCTCATTTTTTCTTCAATCTTTTCTCTCTCTTCTTCAAATTGAGTAATTCTATTGCTCTGCTTCAAGTTCACAGATTTTTTCTGCCATTTCAGTTCTACTAAGCCCATTTAGTAAACTTTTCATTTTAGTAGCTGTAGTTTCAAATTTGCTTTTTTTTTTTTTTTTAAAATATAGCTTCCAATTTTGGGGGTATTCATTAAAGCATGCTTCCTCCATTTCTTGGCACTTGTTATTTATGACGCTGCTTTTTGGACTGTTGGCTAACTGTTATCTGGGGCCACTTGGCAGTAAATCCCTACTGATTGCTTTTATCTTGCACAAGAATTTGATGACACCGTTTTCTTGTACATCCAGCACGTTCTGGTTGAAAGCGCCGCACGGTGGGTATGCCGCAGCAGTGACTTTGGAATCTGCTTTGGTTTTGTGAAGTTCTTGTTGCTGTTACAGAAGGCAGTTAACTCGCCTGGACTCACTGTGAGCTCTGTTACCATTATGGGGTGTGGTCACTTCTTTCTCCACTCAGCCTTTCAGCTGGACTCTGGGCCTGGGCAGGTTGGTGGTCAACCATGGATGTTGACAAGTTGAGTCAGATGTTAGGAGTTGCTCGCTCTGCGGTTCCTTCGTGTCTAGGGATCACCCTTAAATTTCTGAACGCGGCCCTCCCTGGTGGTGCGGCGGGTTAAAGCACAGCACAAAGAAGCTTAAGCCACTTCTGCATGAGTTCGATTCCTGCCAGCGCCGGAGGAGATCCACGTGGTGCGGCAGACCTCTCCTGACCCACCCGCTGCTCCCCTCAGCAGTGTACTTCATCAATCTGCCTGTTCTGCTCCCCACTCTGTCTCTGGTGAAGCCTCTCACCCTCCGCATCTCTGGCCTGTACCCCAGTTCTGTGCGAATAAATAAATCTTAAAAAAAAAAAAATTCCGGACGCTTTGTCATCCTGAGTTCAACACCTGATACCTCGAGTCACTAACACTTTCACTGTCATTCACTAAACGTCCAACTCGACCCAGCCCCGGCGGCACACTGCGCCCGGGCCGACGCCCTTGCTGATCTGAGCTGAGGTGCCCGGCTGCGGCTAGTCACAGGGATGGAGGGGCCCCCGCCCCCTCCAGCCCTCTTTCAGAAGAGCCTGGGAGACCCCAACGCAGGGCGGGGCTAAGCGTCTCCCCGCAGCAATGCCTTGCAGGTGACTTCCACTTCGTGGTACGCTGGATTTAAAAGTTGGTGTAAGTTGTGTGCAAATCCTAACCTGAGTCTGTGGGGTGAAAGGGCCCTTGCAGGCCGCCACCAGCCCCTTGTTTTAAACACGAGGATGTGTCAGGCGGGGAGAGCCCAAGGGGGCTCGGCAGGTGCCGTCGAGTGGCTGCCCTGCCGCTGTGCCAGCGCTTGGCCACAAAGCTGATTTTTGATTGTTCACAAAACCACAATTTCAAAATTGTACTGAATGATATTGGTGAGCAGACACTGTGTTTCAGCTACATCACAGGTTGCCACGGCAGAAGTTTTCATCTCTAAGTCAACAAACCAAATACAACAATAGGTCTCTTCACTCTCAACCTGAAAACTGTGATCAAAGGCTTTGATCACATCGCACACGCTACGACCGGACCTAGGTTTCTGGCCAACCGACGAGCATACGCACTCGGAGACTACAGGCTCGTCCTCTCGCAGGGCCCATGTGGGGAGACAGGGCGCCTCTTTCTTGCCCGCTTCCGACCGTTGACGTCTCGTGCTCCACAGATGCTATTCTCTCGGCACGCGACGTCACGGCGGTCCTCTGCCGCGAACCCTAAGAGGGTCATCCAGCCACGCTGCTCCACCAGCTGTGTCTGTGAGGACAGCTGTTCTACATCTGGTGGCCAGCAGAGGCGCTGCACAAACCCTAGATGCAAGGAGGTGTCCATCTGTCCTGCCAGCTCTGCCGGCTCACACAAAGGACGCGCATCTGGTCAGGCCGAGTCTTCTGAGTCACTCGGGGCTTCTGCAGGGCCACGAGCTGCCCCGGAGCCTGAGGAGACGAGGACCAGCAGGACTGGTAGTGAGATGGCTTCAAAGTCACCAACACCTGACGTGAGCCGTGACTATATCCATCTCCTCATGTGCATCAAGAAGTGCAGTGAGAGAAAGCTGGGGAGTCAAACAGCTGTTCCCACACAAGTCTCCTGCAGAGTTAAGTGATGGTGCTCATACTGCTGAACTGGAGATTTGCTTTCCCGCTAGACACTAAGTCGTCGACGGCACCTTAACTTATAACAAAGCTGAGTAAGATGAGACCCCCAGAGCAACATCGGCGCCGGATGTCCTTGGAGAGGACGAGCGTCTAATGCGCAGACCGCTTACCTTTTCTTTTTGCTTATGATCATGTCGATGGTCTGGAGCAGTCGCCGCTCCAGGGCTAAAATGTCGGTGTCGGTCACATTCCTGTAACACGTGCAGACTGTTAGCCGTGTTGTGGGGTCACACCCTTGGGCACAACAGAGAACAGTTGGAGAAACACATAAACCTCACAGCTACACTATCACTGAAGGGCCAAGTTCTAGAGGATAATGGCTAGCATAAGAAAAATGCGCTTGCCACGATTTCTTTTACAGCTTGTATTTCTGGGGTCTCACGGCAGTAGAGGGCTACCCAGCTTTCCGGCTTCGAAGCAGTGACACTTAGGGGCACGTGTAAGTATACCTTCAATCTGGCTCTGTCTCCCTCTGCTCTGCCGGTGGGAGCATCTGCTTTACTGAAGGTGGGGCCAGTTCCCACCGCTACCCATTAGAAATGTGCCTTAAAAAGTGGGGGCGACAGGCCCTCCCTGGTGGCGCAGCGGGTTAAAGCACTGCACTAAGAAGCCAAAGCTACTTCCTCATGAGTTCGATCCCCGCCTGCCCTGGAGGTGACCACAGGGCGCGGCAGACCTCTCCTGACCCGCCCGCTGCTCCCCTCAGCAGTGTACTTTGTTGATCTGCCTGTTCTGCTCCCCACTCTGTCTCTGGTGAAGCCTCTCACCGCCCCTGAGCCTCTGGCCTGTACCCCAGTTCTGTATGTACAAATAAATAAATCTTTAAAAAAAAAAAAAGTGGGGGCGACAAAAGTAGATGACTGGATTAGAAAGATGTGGTACATATATACAATGGAATATTACTCAGCAACCAAAAAGGAGAAACACATGTCTTTTGCAGCAACTTGGATGGAGCTGGAAAAGATCATGCTGAGTGAGATAAGCCAGAAAGAGAAAGAAAAATACCGGATGGTTTCACTCATAGCAGGAGTATAATGGACCAGGTGGAAAATAACAAAAATAATGAACAACCATAGACCAGAGACATTCTGTGGGGTGGAGTGGGGAGTGGCGTCAAAAATAGGGGTTGGGGGGAGGGAAATGCACGGGATTATGGTACACACGGGTAACTTGGTGATGGGAAACCCGCGGGGATTACAATTGAGATGGAAGAAAAAAAAATGTACAAAATGATGTAAAAATAAACTTTTGTAATAAAAAAATTAAAAATAAAACAAGAAACTATATTCTTTGTCTTTTCTGTATTGCACACTAATTGAAAAAAAAAAAGTGGGGGCAAAGAGGTGGGCGGAGAGGACCAGATCCATCTGCCACTTTAAAAATAAATGAAATAAAGGGGGTGCGCAGTCCCGGAGAGAAGGCTGACTCACAAAGACCCCGGTCCACGCCCACCAGGGAAAGGGAATCAAAAGGCCGCACCGTGGACTGCACACTGAACTCCAGCGCTGCCAACAACAGGCTACGCCGGGTCTTCGCCAGGGGCTGAGAAGTGGTTCAGATTTAAGTATCCAGGAGGGTGGCGTGACATGACATATGCATTTTAAGAGGTAACAGGGTGTCTCCCCGCTGCTCCCCTCAGCAGTGTCCTTCGGCAACCTGCCTGTCCTGTCCCCACTCTGCCCCGGTGAGTCCTCTCTCCCCACACCTCTGGTCTGCACCCTGTTCTGTAGTGGGGAGCAGGGAGAGCCACAGTTCTCTGTACCTGAGGAAGTAGGACATGTACGTGTATGGGCAGTTGACAGCACCGAAGCCGGACAGGAGCGCCATGAGGGTCACCCCGATCACCCCGACGCGGCTGATGAGCTGCTCTATGGACAGGATCCCTGGAAACACCACGCACGTGAGCACCGGGCTAAGGGCAGTTATTGTATAAAAGAGGGGACGGGGAGCAGATGCTCGCACAGGTCAAGGGGCAGAAGAGCCGCCTGGGAGAGCGACAGGCGTGAAGGGGAGGCCGCGTCGACACAGGCGGGCAGCTTGGCACGAGAGACGCCGGTGCGGCTCTCAGGGCGAAGGAGAGGCCACTGCGAGCATGAGCCGTCGCGATGACGCTCGCGCTGGCCACGTGCGACCCACCACGGCAGACACCCCAGCCGCTGGACATGCTAATGCAGGACCCCGCAGACCTACGCCGCTACAGCACGCGGGGGTTTACCCTTGCTCCCTGCCCCACGCTTCCGAGCCGTCTGTGTGACTGGGTGACAGTGAGAGCAAAGTAACAACAGTAACTACAAATAACAGTTTCCCCAAGACCGAGTGAACTAACGAGGCAACGTCCTGCTAGCAAAGCGTTGGCAAAAGTAATAAGGAAAGTTAACTTGCCGGAAGAGTACAAATAACAGTCTGTTATAAAGAACAATCTGCCCTATAATCGTCCATTACAGACTCATTTATTTATTTCTGAAACAGAAGAACTCATCAGCGGACGGACTTTCAGTCACTGTCTTTAGCACGGCGTTCAGGGCTCTGTCCATGACCTATTTTTGGACTTAACGAGAACACTGATTCCTCTTTCCCAAAATACATGCCCTTGGTGAAGACAATCTACCATCACTTGACCAGAGGGTAGTTACCTTTTGGGCCAGGGACCCCTTTGGGGCCTGAGAAAGCGGTGGGTACCTCGTCTCCAAATGGGCACGTAACTGGAGCAGACGTGAGCCACGCCCCGCTCCGCTACCTCGCTCTCCAAGCCTGTCCACTAGCCTAACATCGAGGCCCTTGCTTTAAATGACACCACTCTGTTCCAACACTGGCTCTCCACATCTTCTATGACGAGAAATCTGTTTCAAAACCAGACTTTTTTAGAGAAATCACATTTCTACACTCAGAAGTTTAAAAGAGCGATTTTTTCTCAAAGCTAAAAAATTACAAGCAATCCTTTCCTCTTTACTGTATACATACTCACCGTGTTTAGGGCTGAGAATGGGAAACGGATCTCCTAGCTTCCAGAAGAAATACATAAAGGTCAGCCACAGGAGACAGGAGAAGAGCAGCCGCTGCCTGCGCACTGCGAGAGGGGCGGGGTTAGCGCCCGGCCAGGGCGGGCACTGCCCAGCGCAGGGGGCCGGGCCGGGCCGCCCGGCGGGCTGCGACTCTGGGACGCGGCGACGCGGCAGCCGCTTTCAGAGGAAGCCCCCCGCTTTCAGAGGAAGCCCCCCGCCAGGCCATACTGGGATTAAACTCTCAAGACGTGGGTGGGTTAAGGGGCCATTCCAGCAGGGGCAGAAATACAGGCAGCCGGACAAGAGCCTGGTCATCATTCCGCGGCCACTTTGCGCTGTCAGGACGGCCTGCAGGAGGCGCCCGAGGCAGCCGCTCCCCACCGCCCCGAATTCTGCCCGCGTGTCCCTCGCCCGGTGCGCCCAGAGTTAACTACTCACAGAGTTGGATGTTGCTCACAATGAAGTAGCCAATGTAAAAAGGCACCATGAAAACGAGGACGAGCAGAATCACGCACAGGTTCATTTTCCAGTGGAAGTAGCGGGAGCTGAAATGCACAGCACCGGGGCGTCACCGGGTGAGGAGGCAGCACCCCCCACCCCAGCCCTCCGAGGGGCTCTGGTTCTGTGAGCTCAGTGCTGAGTATGCACCAGGCCGCGAGGGGGATCAAAACCCCAAAGCTCTGAAGGCGTCTGTGTTCGCCTTGAGCTCGTGAGGATCCCACTGACTGGAAGGAGCGCGCCGACACTCACTAAAGTGACAAGCAGCGCATCTCGCGTGTCCTCAACAGTACCACTGTGGGTAGGGTGACGACCACCGGAGCCCCGTTCCAGTGAGAACGCGTCAACAGTCAAGACTCAGAAACGCTTCTTTTGTAGACTTAGTAATGAAACTCTGCTGGACCTCGCTACTTGTGCACCACGTAGAAAGCACCAAGACACAGGATTTTAAGTAATTCTGTGGAGACATGATCCACCCATGGCTGCACTGTCTGCAGGCGTGCAACCATGCCCGGCTGTCTCAGAAGGCCTCGGCCCTGCATCCGCTCGGGAAGCCAGCAACACCCCCCCGCGGCTGGCCCGCTGCAGCCATTTCCCGCAGATGGGGCTCTTGCGACTGGTCCCGCGCAGCGTGCCCTCGGGGTGCGTCAAGGTCATGCCGCTGCCAACACGCGGCTGCTTTCAGCACCTCACCGACGGGCACGCGGCGTGTCTGCCCACTCACGAGGGGCGTCGGGGGCCACTTTCGGCAGTGCAGTAGCAGTGGCGCGCGCGCACACACACACACACGCGCGCGCGCGCACACACACGCGCGCGCACACACGCACACACACGCGCGCACACGCGCGCACACACGTCTAAGGTTTGTGCGGACACGCTCTCATTTTTCCCAGGCAGTCACCATTTTACCATTCAACTTCATGTCAACCATTAGAAAACTAAAACTGTTTAAAAAACTTTGTGACACTACATTTGGCTTTTTTTCAGGTTTTTATCGAAAGTTGTTTTTCCTCACATTTTACTAATATGCTAGTCATTTACCTGTCAACATGGAAATACCTTGAAAAAATAAAAATCCCAGCTCCAGGGGTACCACGCTAGGTTTTCCTCCCAAGACTACGACAGTCTGGAGACTGAGATCTACTGTTTTACACCCCCACTGCTCCCCGACCCTGTCTTACACCCCCAGCAGTGCGCGTGCGCCCCAGCCCCCCACTCACCAACACTTGTGGGCGTGGAGCCCGGCCGTCCTGTGGGAGACACACGGGGTCCCACAGTACTTTTTTTCTTTTTTAAAATTTATTTGTGCAGATAAGAACTGGGTGCAGGCCAGAGGAGCGGGGGTGGGGAGGGGGAGAGAGGACGCCCCAGAGACAGAGCGGGGAGCAGGGCAGGCGGAGATACTGAAACACACTGGTGCTGAGGGGGCAGCGGGAGACGGTGAGTCTGCGGTGAGTCTGCTGCGCCCCGGGGGTCAGCCCCTGGCCGGCCGAAGCCCGAGCTCCAGCTGCAGACAGCCCCACAGCCTGCGCTTTCACCGCCAGTGAGGCCTCAGTACTTTTGATTTCCACTCCCTGAGGGCGTATGCGGTTGAGCCTTTTCTCCTGTGCTCACTGGCCATTTTCCCATTGTGTTATTTGCTTTTTCACTATGTAGTTGTTAACAGTTCTTCATATATTCTGGTAGAAGCCCCTTATTGGACCTTTGGTTTACAAAAACCACCTCCCATTCCTGGCTGTTCACTTTCCTGATGGTGTCCTTGTATTACTGATTTTTTGGACTTCGGCCTTCTTTTGAAAGAGGTTAAGTAGCTCGTGAAGATTAAAAAATACAGGAGAATGAGATAAATATTAAGGAGATATGAACGAGAGGAAAAGCGATGCTGAGCAACAGCGAACATGTCAGTCCAGGCCCAAAAGCTGTTAGGAAAATATACACCACGTACACAATAAATAGAGACCTAGAAACTTGCTATGGGTGGGTCATAAAGTTTTTTAAACAGTTTTAGTTTTCTAATGGTTGATAAGAAGTTGAAAATTTCATGCTAGCATTTAAATTGATGTCCTGCTTTCTGAGAAATTCTATGAATGTCCTAGCACTCTATAATCTATCTTTTCTTCATCAAGCTAGTTAGATTTGGTTTTCTGCTAAAAGAAACCTGCTAGATACAGCAGGAGAGTGAAATGAACAGATCTGATCAGCGAGATGAATCAGTGTCCAGAAGAAAAATGAACCAAGTGCTTCAAGGAAGTATAATTACTACTGATTTGTTACTGCTGAGTTCTTACCCAGGTCATAAATCTTTGAAATTTCTGCAAAGAAATTTTTTTTATGAAGAAGAAAATGTGGGGGCAATGGACATGTGCTCAACCACACCCTCTCTGGAGAACACCAGTGAGTTTCGAGGGGCTGTTTCTCACGTGGCACAGGAGGTAGGACACAGGCAAGAAGCTCTTCAGGACAGCTGCCCTCAGGGAGCCAGTCCCTCCACGCCCAGAGACGACAGCATTTGCTCTTTCGATTAGCCCAGCTAGGAGCAACTAGAGAAACAAATACAGTCGCGTCCTCCAGACAATTGTGATCTCAGCTCAGCTGCGAAGGACACTGGGAGGCGGTGTGTCGGAAGTGACAAGTGCAATCCGTGTTGCCAATTAAAAGTGAGCCGTGATTTAACTCTTTTACGCTGACAGTAAAGTAACATTCTCTTGAGAAAACTAAGGGCCCTAACAAGATTACATATTTGAATAAAAGGCCATAGTACTTCTGCTCAGAGGTGAGTCAAGAGAATACCATTCGTCAAGGACAAGGCTCTCCTTTGAAAACTCTTCTCAATGTAGAGTTCCCTGGTGACATAAGGGTTAAAGGCTCAGTGTGATCAAGCTGTTGTTAGCCAAGGTCATCCTTGGCCAGGGAGTGACCCACAGGGCGCAGCAGACCTCTCCTGTCTCACCTGCTGCTCCCCTCAGCAGTGTATTCCAGTGGATCCTCCTGTCCAGCTCCCCACTCTGTCTCTGGTGAAACCTCTCACCCCCTAGTACCTCTGGCCTATACCCCAGTTCTTGTATGAATAGATAAATGCTTTTAAAATAAATATTCTGGATGCAGTCAATGCACAGACAGATGGTCAAGGCTCATATTTCTGTTATACAGTAGAGTGAAGAGTTAGCATGAAAATACAGGTATAATTAAAGACAGATCTCAGCCTGTACAGACTGAATTCCCCATAATGCACCTAAAGAACTAGATTTTAGCATGGGACTTCTTACACCATTTAAGGTGAGCTGCTTAAGGAACATACATCAAAGTAGCTGAGTGATGTCTTACTATGTGGGATTATTAGTTATAAAGGAGTTAGAAGTTGGAGGATATCATCTCCCAAGACCAGTACCGTTGGTTTTAGATGTGAGCGGTAACTTTTTCCACCACCGCTTGCTTCAGAGTCAGCAAACTATGTCCTGTGGGCCACCTGGTTTTATATAATTGGGACACAGAACCTATGGCTGCGTCTGCTAGCAAAGGCAGAGTGAGCAGGCGAGAGAGGAAGAGTGTGACCCAAAAGCCTACGCTATTTACAACTTGGCCCTTCGTAACAAAAGGATCCTAAGAGGTCAGCAGTGACCTCTGCTTCACTGTTGGCAGTGAAACTTACAGGCTGGGAAAATAAAATTCCGTGACAATTGGGCAATTGCTTACTCTGGACCTTGCTGCACAGCCCATCCCGGACTGGGCAGGGTCACTGCTAATTTGAGCAGGTAGAAAGAGGATTCTGGAGCCTTCGGTGTCTCCACCGCCCCTTCAGTGCTGATTCGGGGGTCAGGCTCGCAGGCAGAGCAGCAGGCGAGCCCGGCAGTGACTGGCTCCCCGCCCCGGGCCTCGGGCACCCTCTCTGGCCTCGCCTCTCCCGAGCTCCCCCTCCTCTTCACTTCTCCTTAAGTGGCGGCTTCTCGGCCCAGGTGTCTGTGCTCATACACCACAGGCCCCAGGCGCTCTGGCTTCTAGCCAGGATGTAGCAATCACAGGTGAGCAAGCCCCGTGCGCAGGTGCCCAGCGCCCTCCACAACACGGTGCCACATGTGGGCAGCAACGGGGAGGCCACAGGTAGCCGCAGAGTCTGCAGTGGGAAGGCGGAAAAGAGCCCAAGCTACTTCCCTTTCCCTACAGAACTGCGTCTGGCTCCTCCCAGAAAGTGGCCTGATAAATAGCAAGCTTAAACATGGAGAGCAGAACATACCCCTATTTCTATGTACGATAATTTCTTCATTTATCTATCAAGAAACCACAATTATCGACTCTGATTAGTACAAAAGGAATCGGAGCATACAGTCTCTCCATGAACCCCAAATGTTAGGGGCCTATATGAGTAACACAGCTCAGCACTGACTCCTGACAGAAATAAGTTCATATTAACTTACTTTATTCATATTCATGTCACTTTATTCTTAAAAGGTTTTTCCATGTAGTGAAAAAAAAAGGCACTTAAGTCTAAGAGGATAGCAGATGTACTCTATACAAACGTTGGCTAAGAAACCTTAAACTCAAGTCTAACAGACCAGAAGTGATGTAGACTGAGTAAGGAGCTAGCCAGTGTGTTACCTGGAGAGGCCTAGGGGTGTGCTTTTAAAAAATGCCTTAAGGGACACGCTAAGTTCAGTCAGACTCGATCATCCCTGGGCAAGAAACAAAGGACCAAGAGCTCATGTTCAGACTCCTTATCAACCCCAAATGTCAGGGGTCACATCGATGATTTTTAATCAGCAGACCAATGTCAGGGCCATAATTAGGATTCAGTCAGACGAGAAAAATAAAACTTGTAGGAGTGAAGTCTGGGACCCAGCACTTGAGGCCTCATTCTCAACTACAGCTCGGAGCAACGGTCAGATACGTCCTCCAGCAGTTTCACAGTCACTGTCCAACCAGTGACCAGAGCCCCGATCTGCTGTGATTACTGAAGTTAAGATTAAACTAACCACACAGTGGAATTTCTCAGCTGTGGGATCCAGGTAGGTAAAGAAAATGACACTGGTCTCTTGAAGGGAGACCTCGTTAGCACCCTTACTCACCTGCTATTCAGCACGCCTAAGATTTCGAAAATGATGAGCTCAAACATGGTGCAGGAAAACGCAAAGGTCACAGAGAAGATCACCTGCACGACATACTGGCGCACCTGTCAAAAGCCAAACAGACTAAAAGTCATTTCCTCATCTGAAACACTGAGCTCATAACACCTGGTTAAAGTCAGAGAACTTATTTTGAAGGAATTCTCTAGCCACGGGAAACGGGGCCACAACAGTGGAGGAAAGAAACCTCTAGGATAAAAGGGCTGCAGAAATAAAGCCAACCCCCTGCGGAGGTTAATGGAGAGCACCCTGGCAAGGACCCCGACGCGGTCTATCGCAAATGGGCGTCAATTATGGACTATTCAGTCCAGCTGGGGGTGCTTTCCGAACGCAAGGCTTAAAGTGGCATGAGGTGAGATACTCAAGGGCCTAGGGGTGTTCGGGAGACATTAGGAATTCTCTCCCGAAGAATAGCTACCGCTGTGGTGCATATGCAGCCGTGACTATGGCATGCTGTTGCGGAGTCTGGGCTTCTGGGCTGCCTTGCCTAGCCTTTTTCTTTTTAAATTACATCTAATCATATTCTCTCATTAAGGAATTCTACAGTGCTCATGGAAAACTCTTTGATGTGAACATGATCTTTCTTCAACGTAGGTATTTTTCTTGCCCTATTTTAAAACGATCTAAATTCACGTCGCATGAACATGACCAAATCGATGTCTTCTCACCTCATAGTCCTTAAACAGCTGGCGCATGAAAAAAAGCCACCCAAATCCAAAGAAAAGAATCTGGAAGAGAAAGCAGGTAGAACGTTACCTCCACACCGTGCCGTCCAGACCTCCCTGCAGTGACCGGCTAAAGACAGTAGCTCATTTCAGAGCTTAGAGATGAGACCCCTGCTCAGGTCTGCTGTATCCTCAGCAATGCCAGTAGGTGCTGAAATGCTCTTTAATTTCAAAATTTTCATGTCTTAGAATATTTTAATTCTGATTAAAATTTAAGCTGTGTACTTTTCTTATAAAACACCACCGATGAGATTACAGAGAAATAAAAATGTGTTCAGAAACTTGCTTCTCACAGAGGATGCCGGTTTGCAAATATTAAAAAAAAAAAAAAGGTTTGTTTCCAGAGGGCTGTGCAGAAGCAGCGTCTCTGACAGACAGGTGCAGCAGACTCAAGCAAAGCTCAGTCACAGTAACCGTGACTGCCACTCGTTATCCACCGCAAATGGCAAGTTCTCCCCTGTTGCTGGCAGCCGCGCCCCCGACCACAGGCCGCCGCCTCCTGGCGCTGCCCAGCACGGCGGTGGCGGTCTGGGAGCCGCGCAGAGGCCCTAGCGGGGAAGTGGCGGCGCCCCTGGCCCAGGCCTTTCCCCACGAGCTCGCCGACCACGTTAAGGGCCAGAGGGCCACACAGTCAACACATCCAGCAATATCTGCGCAAAAGATAAATTACGCAGACCAGCTGGGGACACTCCTCAGCGCTGAGACCGGCAGGCCAGTGTGTGTGAGTAAGCGCCCGCTGGGAGACTGGCTGGGATGAAGAGGCAGGACAGAAGTCGCACTCGAGAGGCAGCAGGCCCGCTGCAAGGGCCCCGCGCTTAAGGGAGGGTCAAGCGAAGCAGAGCGGGCACTGAAGAAGCCAGAGTGTCCGGAGGCTCCGGTAAGGTGGGGGCGTGCCGAGCTCGGGACAGCAGGCCAACGGGGAGATGGAGGCAGGAGCCAGCGGTTGAGGGGTGTAGATGGATGGGGTGGGGTGAAAACAGTCGTGACAATGAGCAAGCTGGGGGGGGCGGCCAAGAGTGACAGAGACACTGGCTAGCAGCCGGGGAGAGGGCCGGGGAGCCGCGACCCGGGACGGGGTAACCGGGAGGAGGCAGAGAACACCGCAGGACGAGGGGCGCGTCGTTAGCTTGTTTTCCTGGCAGCCCCGGCCGCTCACAAGCTTCCCACTGTCTGAAAGCAGGAGTTCCGAGACTGTCCAGGTCTAAAAGGCATAAAGTGATGAACGGTAATGCATGCGGGAACATTTTTGATGGTCCCCAGAGCCCCGCAATAACCTAGCAAATCACAGCACAAGTAACACAATACCAAGAACGCTAAGGTACAGTGAATCAGGACTGCACGAAGCTCCCCAGGGCCGGCAGGGCGGGGCAGGGCCGGCAGGGCCGGGCAGGGCGCCGTCGGCCGGGGCTGCCACACGGCGGCTGCAAAACGAACGCCAAATGCCATTTTCTCTGTCCTCTGTCGTAAAAGCAAAAATGCTCTTTGGATTTCTTTGGTTAGTGAAAACAGGTACTAATGTAGGTCTGTTGGGCAAACAGGCAGCAGGCAGGGCCGGGGTGCCAGGCCAGGCTGGGGTGCCGGGCCAGGCTGCCGACTGGGCAGGGGTGCCAGGCCAGGCAGGGGTATGGGCCAGGCTGGGGTGCCGGGCAGGGGTGCTGGCCGGTTCAGGAGGCTGCCGAGGCTTCCCAGTGCCCCAGAGAACCTTCAGGGTTTCCCCTGCTCTCTCCAGTGTCCTGTGGCCTCACCTCCTCTCCAGTCCCATGGCTCGTCCTCCTCATGGGCTGCGCCCGCTGCCTTCAGCCGGCCTGCAGGGTCAGGCGCGCTCTCTTCTGGCGCACCCAAGCTCCAGGTGCCCACACTCACAAGCCCTTCTGCAGCAACAGGACTGAGGACGCAGGTGACAGCCGTGGAGGCAGGAGGCTAACAAGCGTGATGAGCTCATTTACCCTCCGAGGCCCTTTGTAAAGTGACGTAAAGCAAACGTCCAGGACGCAGGGAGCGCACAGCTAGCCATTCGCTGCAATCTGTGCAGAGTTCTTAGCTCTGCATTCTCACTAAATCATAAAAGCCCGATGGGTGAGGCTGATTGTCCTCCTTCCACAGAAAGGTGAAGCTTCCAGCGCTAACCCGCTGGTAGTGTCGGGATCAGCATCCAGGCTGAGGCCGAGGCTGGCTCCAAAGCTCGGCTCTTAATCACTTCAAACAGCTGCTGGCACCAGGAGCACAGGGCACTTTCCCGGGCGAGCACGGCTGCAGGATGGAGCTCACCAGTCTATGTAACCCTCTACCTGCCCATGTGTAGAAAGGAGGGAGGCACACCTTTGGCCTCAATTTTGTGAAAAGTAGGAGGCGAACTCACCTGCTGAGTAAGAAAAGTGATGATGGAAAAAGGGCTTGGAGGAAAGTGAAGGCTTGTGAGGGGAACGGGCAAGTCAAGGTCAAGAAAACGACCACGCCCGAGCTGGCGGAGGTCCCACGCCGCAGTCTGCGCAGCTGTGGGGCCCTACCGGCGCCCTGGGATCCTGAGCTACCACAGACAACTGACAGCAGCCACCAGAGAGGCCCAGACACGCAGGCCAGAGAGGAAAGGCGCGGCCGGAAGGGGAGCAAGCACTCGATGAGCCCCTGGGCTGCTCAAGGTCACTGCGCATGGACACTCAGGGGCAGATCAGCGATCACGCCTACATGACTCCTGAAGTCGTGACTGAGGCTGGACACTTACACTGGGATTGGTGGACCGGGATGACACAATAAAGAAAATAATAAATATCACCGAGATTCCTGAAATGGGACTTCAGACCAGAAAAGGGAACAATCAAAAGTGAAGTCTATACAAGGGGCTGGGAGGGAAAGAAAAAGAAAGGAGAGAGTTATATACCTTTACTATTTCAGTGGGGGCTCCTTGCAGACTGACAAAACAGTTTAAACAGACAAAATGAATGTGAATACCAGTAACTAGAGAATTTATTATGTCCAAGGTTAACATGAATTGTAGTGAAATCAAAGAGCTTTCAAAAACATATAGAAGGAAAAAACATTTTTAAATATTTTGTAAATAAAAGGCGCAAAGTGCAGATTCTTATTTTAAAATGGGAATTAATATCTTTAAAATTATGCAGAGTAGAATCTTGACCTTGGGACTTAGTGCAATTTGGAGATGATATCTTTTGACTGTATGGAAAGCTCAAAATGGGCTAGATAACAGCTGCTTTTAGAAAAAATGACTCAATTGAAAATAAGCTATAGATTCGGGGATAAAAAGTCTCTGACAGAAGTTAAACAGAACTAATGGGAAAATTCCCCTTTTGTGGATCATTTATTTACCCTTTTATTCATTACGCATTCGCGCCTAACATGGCCAGGCCCTCAGACAGAAGCATGAGTAAGAGAAGACGCGATTCCCAGAGTCGATAACCCCTGGAGTAGGCAGGTTATTACGAAACAGTGTGATAGGGCCATCACCAGAGAAGCCAGCAAAGGGTATTGAGAAGGCATGGATGGGGCATCTGTCCAGGCTGGGTAGGCCCTGGGGGCATGAGGCTAACAACATCTGAAGGCTGAGTAGGAATTTGCCAGAAGGAAGTGGAGGGGCACGGAAAACAGACATGACTGTGTGTAGGTCTAGAGGCATGTAGCATGGCCAGGTTCAGGAGTTAGAAGAAACTTAGTGACGCTAAGTTGAAAGCGGAGTGAGGAACTGATGAGAGCCAATGCTGAGGAAGAAAGAGCCAGGAAGTCAATAAAGGACCCCAGACATCACCGCGAGGACTGGACTTCCTCTGCTGGCACGATGAGCCACCTCTACATCAAGGTTGCCTAAGGCCGACCAACTGCAATACAGATTTCATTTCAAATAAATATTTCAGTTCCTAAATGCAGGAAAAGGAGAGGTGGGTGGTGGTCTTTCCAAGGAGGGTGCTTTTTAGACTGAATAAAGGCTTGCTCGGCCTCTGCCAATAACTGATCTAGATGCTGGGAAAGTTTACCGCAAAGAGCAAGAGAGAAAACCTCCTTATTGTGGCAGGTATGCAAAACTGCAAAAATTATGTGTTCTGTTTCATATTTTTAAAAAGTTGTAATAAAAAGTTTTCAAGACAAGGACAACGAATGCTCTATTCTAAAGAGAGGAGCCAAAGGATGAAGTGAAGTGAAAATTGAAGCAAAAAACAAATACTTAGAGCACTTACAAATTTTTAATGCTTTGTTCACATTACTGTTAAAAAGACTTGCTGATTCTGAAGTGGGCTAACTATATTTCGGAATGGTGCCGCCGTGCCTCTCAAGAGTGGGGAACAGCCTATGCAAGTGAAAGCAGCCTGTGGCGATTGAAGGCCTCAGGACTGCGGCCGCTGCTCACACTTAGGTGTCTTCTGCACTTTAGCTCACTGTAGACCCCCAAGGGGCGAGGGGAAGCTCAGTTTTAAGTACTCTGAACTTCTAGGAACAGCTGTCCAGCTAGTACTTCTTGCACGCTTGCACTTGCAGGGATCCAGCTCTGAAGAGAGGGTCTCAAAAACTAAGCTCATAAATACATAGGTGGTGCCCGTGCAACGAGGAGCGCTATGGAGATAACAAAGGCCCCTCGGAGGAGGCTAACTAAAGCCGGACGTCGGCGTCCTGTACCGTTCACACGCCGCTGAGCCACATCTGCCGCCTGCACGGCGCAGGAGGGTGGTCAACCCGGCAGGAGGGAGGCCGACGGGCGCGCAGACGGCGGTCCCGCTGAGGCGCGCGCGTACAGTGACCCTTGGACTTGGCCGGTCTCTGAAGTGACAGCGACAGATGCCTCCGCACCCGGATTCAGGATCTGACAACCAGACGCGCGCCCACGTGTCCCCAGAAGCCGGCCGGGATTGGCGCAGCGCGCACGGGCGCCGGAACCGCCTTCCGGGGCGGCGGGCG